CCATATTTTGAAAGTGCGACATTTGTTTATGAAAACTTTGGTATGCGAATTGATAGATCTAGTAAACTTCCATGATTCGCACCCATGCAGAAGTACGGATACGCTTAGTTGATTTCACCATGTATTCTGATCTAAAAATAACACATTGCTCTTATTACTGATTGATTTTTTTAGATGAAAAGATAGGTAGCCTAATGAGCGAGTCTTTGAGTACACAAACTTTTCGATTGATTCCCAATTAATACCACATACTTTCTTGGATAGATGCTAGTTTTAGAATTTTGGATTAACAAGTTAAAATTATTTATAATCACATTATTCTGTGCAACAAGAATCCATATATCATATTAGATAGAATTATCTATTATCTAGAATTTTACTTTTCCACCAAAGACTGCTATATTAATTGGTTCGTTGAATTTTGCTTTCTTTTAATTGTTGTCTTGACTAGTTACAGACTAAAGCTATTTTATTAAATTATATCTATATTATTATTTTTTTTATATCAAAAAAAAAAAAAACAAAAAAAAATAATTTAAATAACTTTGTCTAAAAAAAGAAAAGTATTTTTTTATTATCGAAAGTTATCATTGTTTATATAAAATATTTATCAGTTTCTATAAGTCGATAAGATATGTGGCTATGGTCAATTTTTCAATTTTTTATTTGTTTAATTGAATTGCCTTGCTTCTGAGTTAGTCACACATAGTCAGTTTTAAATTTTTATACTCAATTATTCACATGTTTCAAATCTGGGTTGGGTTGAGTTGCGATTTTACTACGCTTTGTTTACCCTTCTAAGTTGACAAAGATTTTGTAGAGTTCTAAAATTTAAATATTTTTTAGATAAGCATTTCTTGTTTAGATAAGAAATTCATATTACGAAATTTAAATAAAAAATCAAGAAATAAGAAATAAGAAAAAAAATAGTATGACATTTGTTTGTTGGGAATCGAAATTTTGGGTGGTTATATGAACTACAAAAAATAAACATTCTTCGACTTAAGTAGTTGTATTTAGTATTAGATAAAAACAAGGAAACAAATTAGGTTTTCTTCTTTATTAAAATTTATATAATTTACTATAACATATAGATTTGGCCACAAATTTTCTAATCATGACCATTTTGGTGAATTTTTTATATTCTGTTAGGTGTGCTTATCCCTTCAGAAACATCAGTGTTGATTTTCCTAGCAGCCTTCCTTCCGATTTTGTTTAGCACTCACTTTTCGGTGTATCTGAGTTAAATATTTTGGATATATGTTCAAGTCACTTTAAGTGATGAAATATTACTTCAACTAGAAGTAAAATGTCTTCTGGTAAATAAGTCTACTTCTGTTATGTACCGGTCCAAATACAAGCTCTGATATTTCTCCATTTATTTCGCTGATTAGTAATTCCACAATATGTCAGTTGGTTAAATCGTTCATATAATCTTCGAACTTATTTCCTTAAAGTGTGCCTAAGAAAGATTATTAATAAATAAAAAGTTTTCTTATGTTATAATTATAATGTAATTTAATTAATTAGTAAATTTTATTTTATTGTAGATAAACGTACCCACTTCTCTTGCCTCTGTAAATTCTCCATAAATTCTGCAATCCTTGCTACCACTTTGTGTATTCGTTTTAGGAGGGACAAATGGTATCTAGTACGTTAGATCGGGAATATATTAAATAACTGTAGTCAATTAAATAAAAGTTTTGCAAGCATCTTAAAATACTACTTTATTTTAAAAGACTATATATGAGGAATGTTAATTAGATGATGATTATATATGCTTACCTTACAAATGGAAATCCAGACGGCATATCCATAAAAGTGATCACTTCGATTTTGCCGGCCAGTATTTTTATATGATGAACATATTGACAATAACCTCAGGAGGTACTATTAGGAAAATCTCTTTATTTTAAATCTAACACTTGCTAACTATTATTTAATATTCTTATTGATTTAAAAGATTCAAATAAATGAGACGCGTCATTTTAATTGTATTGATATTGATATTGATAGTTAATAAGTTCCAGAAGTGACCAAAACTACGCCACGGTCCATTTTTTTTTTTGTGTCGAGTCTGGAGAAATATCGTCTAAAGATACAAATGGCACTTACAATTTGCATGCCCGATTCCTGCATGAGTCATGCATGCCTTTGGACTAATAAAAAGTCCTAGATATCCCTGTAGTTAGACCAGGGAGTTAGAGGTATTCTTTCACAGGACAGGTAAGCAGAGCACCTGCGTCTTAACACCTGCGTCTTCTCAAATGCGTTCATTAACGGAGTAATCATGCGTTATTATTCGAACGCATGATTGCTGCCAAGCGGGACATCATCTTGTTTGTCTGGAAAAGTCCCGTTTGGCTTTCGTAGCTCTCAATTCCACTGAAGCATGCCTTTTGACTTTTACTTGGGCTATTAAGTGAACCATACGTGGAACATAAACCTCGTTTTATTATATGTTTATATAATTTTGTAGTATTAATTATTATTTAATTATAATTTTCATAATTTTCATTAATTATAATTAAGCTGTTTCATATATATTTAATTTAATTAGTCTAAGTTTTTATTTATAAATTTAGTAGAATTGAAAATAAATAATATACCTTACTTATTATATATTTTTTTAATTTACTAATATTAATTATTTGATTAATTAACAAAGCCTGCAAATTACTATATCAATTTCATACTCATACTTAACTAAGAAATTAATATTCTTGTATATTGAAAGTTGGAGTAGTGCTTTAAACTTCTTTGTAAAGTAATTATTTGCATTGTTGTAGTATAATGTGAAGTCCAAAGACTTTATTTTCGGGAACTGTTTTTTTTTTGTACTGTTTTTTTAATTTTTCAAATTGTAAAGTGTTTTGTTCTTTTTTAAAGTTTAATTTTGTAATAACATTATCATTAACAACTCATTTGCACATTGAATTCAATTAATTGCTTCTCTCAAACTCAATTTAACTTCATTCCTTTTCATAAAAATTGTACATGAAAATTGCTAATCTTAGAAAAAAAAAATATGTTGAAGACTTAAAGTAAGTTTCTTTCAAATTAGTTTAAAGCCGGAATCAATTGATGTAAGAATTGCAGATTTTGATGGTGTTTTATTTCACATATCAAATGTTAACGGCGATAAAACTAAAGTTAGAGTAAGTGAAACTTTTTATTTGTGTCCACTAATTTGTCTGTATTAAACATAATTAATAATAATTACCATTTCAGGTCAGCATTTCGTTAAAATTTTATAAACAGCTGCAAGAACATGGTGCCGATGAACTTTTAAAGCGAGAATATGGCAATTTGCTGACAGATCCTGAGGATGGTAAATATATGCACATTCTTATATACGTATATCATTTAATATTAATCCAGAATCAGATATCTGGTGTTTGTAGTTCAATAATATAAAAAATCCTTTGGATGGTGTATAGATGATCGATATCCGAAACAGCTGCATTGTTTATTAATATTTATGTCTTATGTATACTGAAGATGGATGGTCTATGAAGTTGTCTGAAATATTAGTATTAAAATATTTTTGTTAAAATATAAACAAATATTTCAGAGATGTTCCAAGTGTACTACAGCAACAGAAATTTTTTTTATATTATTTTAATTAACTGAATTTATGGTTAACCATACAGCTGTTTCGAGTATTGTCAAATACCCATCATCACTGGTCTTGAAAATATTTCTTGTATTTAATTATTCCTAAATAAATTTTGGACTACTTTATTCCTATAACTTTTCTTTTCCATTTCTTTTTTTTACCTTTTGAGTATTTTAACATTTTCATTTATATAATATATAATATTTTCAGTATGCTATTCTTATATCTACATATATACATATTGTAGTAGTATAAGTATTGTAGATGTATGATAGTATATAAGTATTGTAGTCATAAGATAGAATTAAGCATACACATGTAAACTAAGGTAGAATTAAGAGAAAGAATAATAAAAGAGACAGTTGCGTGACGACCGTCGAACAAAGTAGATGTTGGTTGTTTCTACTAAAATTCAGAAGTGGGATCAAGTAAAAAAAAAAAAAAATTTTTTTTTAAAGCCCGTGTGTAATAAAATATATATATATAAAATTTTTATATAAAACTGTGAAGAATGGATGGCATAGCTGACGTTTTATGTTTTGATGATCTAACGGTGGAGGAGCTAAAAAATTGGCTGACAAAATTGAAGTTGCAAGTAAGTGGAAACAAAACGCAGTTGATTGCGCGTTTAACAAAAGTGCCACAGCATATTCGCAGTGAGTGTGCGCCGATGAGTATAAAAAAAAATAGTGACGCCAGAATGTGATGAAGCAGTTGAGCAGTCTGTTGTACAAAATTGTGAAATTATGAGTAACGAGCGAAATCAAATTGTAAGGGAGGAAGTGAATAACAAAGAAACAGAGGAAGCAAAAATGCAAAGAGAAACTACTATTAGAGAAGAAGAAATAAAAAAAATGCAACTCATGCAAAAAGAAATTGAGTTGCTTAAGAAAGAGCGTGATCTGTTTGAAAAAGAGAATGAATTGACAAAGAAAATGACTCAATTACAATTAAACACTTCGAGTTTAAGCGAATGTAAACATTCAGTACAAAGAAAAGAAGTACCGCTCATAATATTAAAAGAATTTTTACCGGAATGCGATGGTAACAATTTTAATGTTTGGGTTACGCAACTTGAAGCGTTAGAAAAAGCTTACGAATTAGAAGACAATGTAGTTCGAACACTTATTATAACGAAAGCAAAAGGTAGAGTACAAAATTGGCTCCACTCTACACCAAATGTTCTTACACAAAGCAGTAAAATATTGATCAAACAAATGATTTCCGTATTTGGCTCAAAAGAGAGTATTGTTCAATTGCGTCGCAAATTTGAAACACGTTTGTGGTCCAAAGATGAAAAATTTGTTGATTATTACAACGATAAAATTGTTTTATCATTACTGATAAATATGTCGGAAGAAGAGTTAGTTGAATACATTGTTGATGGAATACGTGATCCACAACTGCGTATGCTTGCAAAGATGCAGCAGTTCAAATCAAAAGAAAAATTGGTAGCAGCGTTTGGCGATGTTAATCAAAATACTGCTAGGACAGTGTCGACGAATGAAAGGCGTGTAAAGCAAAGCTTAAGATGTTTTAACTGCAGTAATACTGGGCATGTTGCCGCTGAGTGTCGTCAACCGAAACGTCCATTCGGAGCTTGCTAT